TCGGACATATCCCTTCACGTGTCTAGGCCTGTTTCCTAGTCTATGAAAAGTTCCTTTTTTATCCTCCTCTGCTCCAGCTAGGACAGACCCTATCACTACATGGTGACGATGATCATGATAATAATGATGGTGGTGGTAGTAATAGCTACTGTTCATTCATTCGGCAAATTTGCATTCCGCATCTCCTCTGAGCCAGACTCTGTGTAGTGGGTGCTGGGGATTCATCAGTGAATGACACAGACAGAACTCCTTCCCTCGAAGCATTTTCCTCCTTCATTTGCAACACGCCATGAACTGAGGGAAGCTTCACAGGCATTGTCTCATCGGGCAACCCTGAAGGGCGAAGCTTGGTTTTACTGCTGTGGGAAGTAGAGTCAAGTGGGTTGCCACACATCAGCCTGTGTTTAAGGGGTGGGGAAGGGACTGCCCCTGGCATGTGGCTACCATGACGTAACCTAGTCTACTCAGCATGGCCCCTCTACTGCTCACCCTGCTGCCAGTGTCCAGGCTGTTCCCCTGCCCCTCCCCTGAGTGCCTTCTCTCCAGCTTCATCTGTTCTCATAGATAGCACATCCCTCAGGCCCACCCGAGACCTGATCCTTCCCTGATGGTGTCTTTTCTACGTCACAGGCCCTGTCTCCAAATCCGTCCTCGTTATTCAGCTAAGCAGGGTTGGTCACTGGGAATGGAATCCTTCACCTCTTTGTTTCACTCTCTCAGGATGCCTCTTTCCCCTTCATCCCAACACCCCAGGGGCCAGGCATGGACTCACATGAAGGGCTCAATAAACATCTCTTTAACTAGTGCATTACATTCCTTAATCTTTGCTCGGGCTCTAGCTCTAGTCTTGAGTTTAAATGTCTTCATCATACAGGGTACTTATTCTACCTGGAAAATCCAAAGGTCGGATATGTTTAAAACAAAACCTTCACACCCCTCGTGTGCACCTACTGTTTGCTGAGTGTAGTGTCCATTGCTGCAAAGATGAGAGAGACACGGTCGCTGACCTTTGGCTCCTTGGTGTGGTCAAGGCCAGGATTGCTGTACAGCCCTCTGCGCCTGGGACTGTCCTGGCTCATACTGGGTATAATTATGAGCAGCCTGCCTTTCACTGTCAGATGCCCTAGTTTGAATGACAAACTCTGTGGTCACCTTAAACAAGGCCTGAAAATACGGCCTCTTACTCCTCAAATACCAGTTCCTCCAACCCTATGAAATTGATGCTATTATCATCCCCATTTCACAGGTGGGAAAATAGAGGGATAGAGCTATAAAGTGACTCATTGAAGATCACAGAGCTGAGGAGAAGCATGATTGGGTTTTGAATGCACATCATCAACTGTTACCTCAGCAAGAACTTCTCTTAAGAGGTTTTCCTGACCTCATGAGTAGATATGACTTCCACCCACCCTGCCCCACACCAGGATTCAGACTTGGCCCAGTGACCGCTATGATGGGATAAGGCGACAGGGTCAGAATCCCCTCTGGACCTCCAGTACCTGGCATGGTGCCTGGGGCCAAATTCAATCTCTGGAAGTGCGTTTTGAACAAAGGGACGCAGTTGTCCAGAGGAAGGCTGAGCTTGGCCCCTCCTGGTGGCTTCTTCCTCCCCTGTCCCTGTGACAACAGGGTCATCAACCCCCAGGAGCAAATGGAGCTGCCTGGAATTCCTTCCCAGAGCTCCTTATCAGTTTTTAGAGCAGTGTGGGGTGGGGAGCGAGTGGGTGTCAGTGACATTGGGGGCTGCTCTGGCAGAAGCTGGAATGCCCCAGCCGAGCCCCGCCTGGGGAGGGGCCAGAGGCGGGGGAGGCCACTGGGCTGGGAGGACTCAGCTGTCACATTCCTCCGGCTCACAGAAAGCTCTCCTGGGCGCCTTGTCCTTATTTAGGCAGGAGATGTCTGCTGACTGGGGACTTGTAAGATGCCATTGCAGGCTGGCTCTCCGATGGGGTGGGGCAGGGGCAGAGCTCACCGAAAGCTAAGTCAGCAGGTTCCTGGGCGAGTGAGCCCCAGGTGGGAGCCTGACCCTTGGGAAGAAAATCCACTAAGTAATAATAGCAAAAAATACCAGCTAACATTCATGGAGTGCCTACTATGTGCTGGCACAATGCTGAGCTGGTCTGTAAGCTCCAGAAGGCAAGTCTCTCCTGCTCACAATGATATCCCAAGATTAGCCCAGCACAGCGCATACATGTAAACTGTATACTGAATATGCATGTATACTATATACTATATACACATTCAGAGTATCAAAAAGGGTTGTATCAGTTCTGGCAGGAAAGGATCTATTAAGTGCTTAGTAAATACTTGTCACAACTGAATGAATATACTCTTCACATACCACAATTTACATAACCCTTACAAGAAGTAGCTACTAATATAGCTAAGTGCTATTAGTAACCCATTTTACAGATGAGGAAACTGAGACCGGGAGAGGTTCCTTGAGTCGGCAAAGGTCATGCAAGTTGGAAATAGGGGAGCTGGGGTTTGAAAGCAGGTTGTCTGACTCCAGCGGTAACTAATGCTTCCATCTTCTTATTTGGGTGTAAGCCTGGCTGTGTGGATTGGGTGGGTTACATACCTTACCTTTGACGTGGGGATAGTGATACCTACTTTAGAGAATATTGTGAGAAGTAATTGAGAAAACACATGCAAGTCCCTGGCACCCAGTAGGTGCACAGTAGGTATTGCCTATTCATAGTGGTGGCGTTGATGAGGATGAGGATGATGGCGCTGAGTCCCAGGGAATTCAGCATCCTCTTGCTGGGTGACACCCAGGGGACTGAGTAGACAGATGGTGAGGCCATTTTCCAGCAGACTTTGTCCTCATCCGGGAGCGCAGTGACAGTCATGGCCCTCAGGAGAGGGTGGGAGGACCTTCAAGCTGTCTCTGTTTCCTGAAGGAAATGTTCACTACTCCTAAGCCATCTGAAGCCTCCAGGTTCCCCAAGCAAGAGGCCTGATGGCAGCTGGAGTTGGTTTTACTCTCTGTTAACCCATGGTATGTAATCATGTTTTTGTGCCAGCTCAATTGCCCAAGGCTTCCATGAGCACCTCCTGTGCACCCAGACTGACTTCCCATCCCTTGGTGTCTGTGTGTCCTTGGGCAAGTTATTGAAATGCTCAGAGTCCCGGTTTTCTCACATGTACACTGAAGGTGATAATAGTATTTCTCTCATAAGGCTGCTGTTTAGGTAAAGTGACATGATATGTACAAGTACTTACAATGGGGCCTGTCACGTAGTACATGACCCTTCCAGTATGTCTATAACAGAGTAACAATCACAATGACTAACTTTCAGTGATGGAAAATGATCACACAGACTTCTCTGGGCCTCAGTTTCCCCTTCTTGTTCCTGTGTTGGTCTTAAAGGAAATGAGATGATTTTTGAGGGTCTGTCCAGCTCTGTGAGTCTCACAGTCAAGTATATGTGATTCGTATAATGAAACATTTATCCAGCACATTCCTGGTGAGCCTAGATATTTTCAGATAAATAGTCCTGCTCTGTGCCAGTTTCTGTCTGATGACAGACACACAGCAGTGAAGCTTCTGGCCCTTGTGGGACCCACAGACTAATCAGAGGAAGACAAAGTGACCTGGCAGGGAAGTACAGGAGATGGTAAGAGCAGAGAGCTGGCAGTTAGGTAAGCTATGCTGGGGAAGGGTCCTGCAGGCTGTGTAGGAGTTCACCAGGTAAAGACGTGAAAGATGGGGATGGGGACAAGAGTTCCCAGGAGAAGAAACTGCCTGTGCTTTCACCCCAGGGATGGAAACAATAGACAGGGCACGTTTGAGGAACTGGAAGTTTCTGTCTGCCTAGAAGGCTGAGTTTGGAGTCAGACCAGAGAGGTTGGCAGGAGCTAAGTCATGAAGTCATACGAAAGCATTTCCATCTCATCCTTCAGGCACTAGGAAAGGCACTTTGGGGGTCTTAAGCAGAGAGTCAAGACCAGATCTCCTGGGGGTGGCCTCTGGGGAAAGTTTCTGGACCAGATGGAGCATAAGAAGGAAAATATACATCCAGGGTTAGCATCTAGCTGGGCACCCCAGTAGGTACAGTCATGCCAATTATTAAATATTAAAGTAGTCTGTACTGCTTTGTAACTAGCAGCCTCCCTGAGCCCCCCAGGTATCCTGCCAACCACTGTTGCTATTCTGTCCATTTGATCTTTCCCAGCACCCAGTAGCTACATGGTCAACCACTCAGCACAGCAGGTGGTTATATACATATGTATTTATATCGCCCCTGCCTACCTCTCAGTCATGCCTTCCAGTAAAAGATGCTTTAAGAAGGCATTAGAGAACATTAGATGGAACAAGACCAGCCTGAGAAACGTGGGCTTTAACCCAGGCCTTGCCGTCTTCTTCTTGCTTCATAGGCAGGAGATTAGACTAGACTCTCCCCTAGGGTCATCCTGCCATAAGATAGAATGGGAATAGACACCCAGCCCTCTCTGGCCTCTTGCTGGGGCCCCCAGTCACTGTGCAAACTGGAAGCCAGTGAGCAAGGGTGCTAGTGATGAGGCTTCAGGAATCAGGTAGACTGCCGTTCCATCCCAACCCGCAGCTTCCCGGCTGCGTGGCTGCCCCCAGAGCGGGGCTAGTCTCCCTATTCAGTGGACATAATAACCCCTGCCCCTTAGGGTTGTTGTAGGAATAAATTAAACCAGACCTCTAAAAGTCCTGGTACCAATAGACGTGAGGTTTTTAAATATTTATTTATTCATTTTGAAGTGAGTATAACATATACACCTTCAGAATATCCAGCAGGGTTGTTTCACTCTGGGTCCTGGCAGGAAGAGGTCTATTCCAACGGTTTAATTGGGGAGACTTTAATGAAGGTGCTGTTTGCAGAGATGTGGGCAGAAAAATTAACAAGGTATGTTAAGGCATCCAGGACTAGCAGCCATGGGAACCGCTATGCCCCAGGTATGAAGGGGCACGAGGTTGGGGAGAGGGAAACAGTGTGATGACTGGAGCAGGGATGGGGTGGTTGGGGTGGGTGAGAGCTGTAGCTGTGGAGGGTGGGGGTAGGGGGTGAGAGCTGCAGCTGTGGAGGGCAGTGGTGGGGGGGGGCAGGGAGAGCTGCAGGTGTGGAGGAGGGAGCCAGGTGGGAATATACACCCCAGCCCTCTCCAGCCTCTCGCTGGAGCCCCCAATTGGCGGGACACATTGTAAGCCAGGGAGCAAGGGTGCTGGTGACGAAGGCTATAGAGACCATCTCCCTGGGCACAGAGCTGGGTAGGGAGTGGATAGGGTGGGGCAAGAGGAGGAGATGGGGCAAAAGGAAAATACCCAGCCCAAATGTCGGGGTGTGTGTGTGTGTGTGTGCTCGTGCGCACACGAGTGTGTGTGTGTGTGTCTGTCTTCCTTCCACCTCATTCCCAGCGGGCAACCTGTATTATAAGTTTCTTACCTATCTTTCCATAAATAGTCTCTATATAGAAGAGCAAACAGGTTGTCTGATTACACAAGTGTTACATACAATAAAAATTCTTTTACACCTTGCTTCTTGACTTAATGTATCATGGAATTCACTCTTGGTCATACATAAAGAGCAATCTTATTCCTAGTATTGGCTACATAATACTCTTTCAAATGGCTATGCTGTAATTGAGTTAACCAGCTCCCTACTGCTGGACTTTCGCTTTGTTTCTACGCTTTAGCTATTACAGTGTTACAATAAATACTGTGGAGCTCACAGACTAATCACAGAAAGGCAAAGTCACCTGGCAGCTAAGTGCAGGAGATGGTAAGAGCAGAGAGCTGGCAGTCAGAGTAAGCTATGCCGGGGAAGGGTGCTGAAGGCTGCATAGGAGTTCACCAGATAAAGAAGTGAATGATGGGGATGGGAACAAGAGTTCCCAGAAGTCATTTGGGACCCATACATGTGTCATTTTGTACAATTTGAGTATATCTGTTGGTCACATTCCAGAAGGGGTATCACTAGCACAGAAATATGTAGATGCTAGATTTTTAAAGAAAAAAATGGTTGAACAATTAAATGATAAATGTCAGTCTATGGAAACATGGAAAATTAGTTAAGTGAATAAATTATCAAAGTATGGTAGGAACAGCTAACACTTCTATAGTGCTTACTCTTTGCAAGGCACTGTTCTTAACCCTCTGTGGCCACTACCTCATTTAATTTTCATTGGCCTATGATGTAGTCATGATTATCCCCACTGTGTTAGTTACCCATCATGCATAACAAATTATCCCAACACAGAGCAGCTTAAAACAACACACATTTGTCGTCTCACAGTTCTGCACGTCAGTTATCAGGACATGGTGGCTGAGTCCTCTGGCTCAGGGTCTCTCTCAGGCTGCAGTCCAGGTATTGGTCAGGGCTGTGGTCTCATCTGAAAGCTCCACCAGGGAAAGATTCATTCCAAACTCACACATGTGGTTATTGGTAGGATCCAGTTTCTTGCAGCCTATGAGACTGTGGGGCTCAGTTCCTCTCCAACATGGCAGCTTGCTACAGCAAAGCCAGCAGGAGACTCTGGTGGCAAGAGAGGCATCACAGTCTGAGCAAACCATGGAAATAACGTCCCATGACTTTTGCATAGTCTGTTCATTAGATGCATGTCACTAGGTCCAGCCCACACTCGAGGGGAAGGAATTACACTAGGATGGGAATACAGGAGCCATCTGAGAAATCTGCCCGCCACCTCTCACTGTCAAGAAGAGAAAAATCAATGCATGGAGGGGCTAAGTGACTTGTCTGGGTGATAGCTAGTAAGTCAGGGATTCAAATCCACATAGCGTGACTTCAGATTCCATGCTATTAACCACCATGCCTCAAAAATGGAGTCTTGATTCTGTTCACAGCCCTGATAAAAAATAGATGTGTACATTGTGTTATAAATGAAGGGCACCCCCCAAAAAAGGAAAAAATAGTAGGCGTGCACCTGGACAGACAAGCAAGGCTCAAAAGCCGAAATAGCTATTGTGTTAGCGAAGTGACTTCAGTGTGCTGTTGCTTTAATATGATGGTTTCTGTAGTTTGTAAAATTTTAAAATCAGGCATAGATGTTTTGAAAAGGAAGTTTCCTTGTGTGGTTTTGGAGCTGGAAGCCTCTCTGATGGCAGGCAGCAATCCAGGTTGAATTGCAGGGTCCACTCCTCTTTTGGTTGATGGGGGAGGAGCAAGGCCTGAGGTTCCCTCCCTGTCATTTCATTGGTTGCTAAAGTGCAGTCGGCAATGCTAGCCCCCAAGGGCCAGGCTTTCTTGTGGGATGTGAAGGATGTGGGGAACGTGCTGGCAACGCAGCCCCAGGCCCTCTCAGACAGGCAGCAGGAATGTCAGGAATATATAACTTAGGGGCCTCCTGATGCCCCTGTGGGGGACGAGGCTGGGTTGTGGTAACCACAGCTGCTAGGCCCCGTGGAAAGCGGGCATGAGTCGAAGCGGTGCAGCAGATGTGCAGGTCAGCAAAGGCTTTGGGGCCAGGGAGACCTGGGTTTGGGCTCGAGCCAGCTCTGGACTCACTAGCTATGAGCCGTGGGCAAATGACTTTCTGAGCCCGCGCTGCTTCCCCTGTGAAGAGGATCGTCTTGAGGACGACAGGAGATCACACAGGTTGTTTGGTTTGGTTTTGTTGCTGCAGCAACAGGTTACTACAAAACTTGGTGGCTTAAAACAATACAGATTTATTCTTTTCCAGTTCTGGAGGTTGGAAGGCTAAAGTCAGATTTCCTTCTGGAGGCTCTAAGGGGAAGATCTCAGTCCTTGACTTTTCAACCCCCAGTGGCCCCCTGCGTTCCTGAGCTCATGGCACCTTCCTCTGTCTTCAAAACACATCACACCCGTCTCTGCGCCCATCACACGTCGGCTTCTCCTCTTCTGTTATCAAAAGCTCCCTCTTATAAGGACACATGTGGTTACATTTAGGGCCTTCCTGTCTAATCCAGGATGATCTCCGTATCTCAAGATCCTTAATTTAATTGTACCTGCAAAGCCCTCTTTGCCATAGAAGGTAACATCCACAGGTTCCAGGCACCAGAACCAAATATCTTTAGGGCCATTATTCAGCTGATGCCCTTGGCTGAGTGTCTGACACATAGTTAGCTCTCAGTAAGCAGCAACTCCTCTTCTTCTGCTTCTGCTGCTTCTTTCTTCTTTCTTCTTTCTCTTTTCTTCTTCTTTCTTCGAGACAGAGCCTGGCTCTGTTGCCCAGGCTGGAGTGCAGTGGTGCGATCTCTACTCACTGCTACATCTGCCTCCTGAGTTCAAGCAATTGTCCTGCCTCTGCCTCTGGAGTAGCTGGGATTACAGACACGCGCCACCACACCTGGCTAATTTTTGTATTTTTAGTAGAGACAAGATTTCACCGTGTTGGCCAGGCTGGTCTCAAATTCCTGACCTCAAGTGATCTACCTGCCTCAGCCTCCCAAAGTGCTGAGATTACAGGTGTGAGCCGCCATGCCCAGTTGATAAGCAGCAACTCTTACTACTTTGCCCCGTCTCCTAGGCTGAGAGCTCACACACCCACTCCCTCGCTGGAGGAGGCCCCGCTCTAGCTGGAGGCTGGGGGATTTGGGTAGAACTACCAAGATGGAGAGGTTCTACATAAATGAAGGGCACCCCCCAAAATGAGGGCTGTCACAGCCCCCCAACCTCAGAATCCCCAACACCACTCTTACTCCTCACCTCAGCTAGACAAATCTGCATTGAGCTTGCTATGTGCCCGGCCCTGTTCCAGATGCTTTCTGCCGGTCAGTTCTCTCTCTAATCCCTGCAAGCCTATGAGATAAGGGCTCTTCATAACCTCATTTTCCAGATGGAAAAATCAAAGCACAGAGAATTTCAATAAGTTACCCACAGTCATGTAGCTGTGTTCCATTTCAGTAAGTTACCCACAGTCATGTAGCTGTGTTCCTAACCAACTTGGAATATACCATCATGTTAACCGAGTACAGTGATGTGCCCCTGTAATTTGAGCTACTTGAGAGGCTGAGATGAGAGGATCACTTGAGCCTGGGAGTTCAAGGTTGCAGTGAGCTATGATTGCACCACTGCACCCCACCCAGCCTGGGCAACAGAGTGAGACTCTGTCTCTTTAAAAGAGAACAAGACCAAAATGTTAATAGCAATTTTTTATTAAAAAAAAAATGCTCATTTTCCAAAATTTTCTTTCAGGAAGCCATTTTACTTTTATAGTATATACAGTATATCTTATATTTATAATATAGAAATAATAAAATACAAATTAGGAACGTGTAACACGGATTCTCTTCTGCCCCATAGTCTTGTTCCGCACTCAAGACTTTTTACTTTGTCTCGTCTTACTTAGCAGACTCTACATCATGCAAGGGCAGGGCCCATGTCTGCCTTCATTATTACTTTCATTATAACAAGCATGAGCAAATGACCCAACCTTCCTGTGCCTCAGTTTCCTCATCTATAAAATGGTGGTAGTGCCTACCTCATTGGGTGCGACGAGCCCTTAAGTTATTTCCCATCTTTTCTTATTAGAAACAATGTTCGTAGAACTAAGTATAAGAACTAAAACCATAAAATTCTTAGCTGAAAATATGAGTAAATTTTTGTGACCTTGGATTAGGCAAAACCTTCTTAGTTATGACACCCAAAGCACAAGTGACAAAAGGTAGCTACATTGGACTTCATTAAAATAAAATAACTTTTGTACTTCAAAGGGCACCATCAAGAAAGTGAAAAAGCCCAGAGAATGGGAAAAATATTTACAAATCATATATATGATAAGTGACCTGCATTAGAATATATAAAGAAATTTTACAACTTAATAATAAAAAGACAAAAAATTCTCATTAAAATCAGGCAAAGGGTCTAAATGGGCATTTATCCTAAGAAAATATACAAGCAGCCAGCCATTAAGCACATAGAAAGATGTTCAGCATCATTAGCTATCAGGGAAATGCAAATCAAAACCACAGTGAGATGGCACTTCCCAGACCTCTAGTATAGCCACAATCAGATGACAGATGATATCAAGTGTTAGGGAGGATGTGGAG